GCAAACCCTATTCCCTTCTAGCACTGATTACGTTACTTAGTTGGGTCATGAAACGTCTGCAAGAAAACCGCCAAGCTCAGAGAGCACCAAGGACCCCACAGTCCTCCTTGTTCTCTTCTTCTTTCTCTTTCTCCCCTTCATCCTCCTCCTCCTCCTCCCCACAAACTCCCTCCTCCCCCCTTCTAGCACTGAAGGTGTTATCCAGTTTGGTCATGAAACGTCTGCAAGAAAACCACCAAACTCAGAGAGCACCAAGTCGTCCTCCTCCTCCTCCTCCCCCCACTCCTCCTCACAAACCCCATTCCTTTGTAGCACTGATGATGTTGCTTAGTTGGGTCATAAAATGTCTGCAAGAAAACTAAGCTCAGAGAGCACTAACGAACCCCAGTCATTGTTTCCTCCTCCTCCTCCTCCTCCCAAACCCCATTCCTTTCTACCACTGGTGAAGTTGCTTAGTTGGGTCATAAAACGTCTGCAAGAAAACCACCAAGCTCAGCGAGCACCAAGGACCCCCCTCAATTTAACCATGAATGACAAATACTCTCTTCTATCCATGATAATTTTCTTGATTTGTGAAGTCCCTCTGAAGGGCAGGTGTTTCTATCGGGTCCTTCACAGGAACCCATCATCGTTTTTCCTTCCTCAAAACGCCAGCCGGGCCCTCCCTGGTCTCGTGTGTCAATCAACGGTGGTGACATTTTTTGGGGGGGGGTGGGGGATGAGATTTCTCCCTCTCTGTCGGATTGTGCTTCCCCCTGACCATCTTTTCTGCCTTCCCTTTTTGTCCAGTCCCGCAGAACAACGAGAAACTTCAAGAGAGCCCCTGCGTCTTCGCCCTGACGCCGCGACAGGTGGAGCTGATCAAGAATTCCAGGTAATTTCCATGCGTGCAAAACCCGAAGGCTTCTTGGGAGCGATGAACGGTAAAATAGAATGAAAGATTTTAAATTAAAAAGAAGAAGAAGAAGAATCTGAGGCAGGTCTTTGAGAGTCTTCTGGCAGACGACTAACCCAAGCAGCAACGGGAAGTCAAGTCTTGTTTTAAAAAAATACCGTCTTTGCCGTTAGGTGAAAGGTAATCCCTGCCAACCTCAGTATTCCTCCAGGGAAATGGGAGCATGAATGGTTTCTCTCTCTAATTGGCGTTATTCCTAAGGGACACAACTCCTCAATTCTTAACGGTTGCATCAGTGTCCCTCAGCAATCATACAGGGAGTCCTCGGCTTAAGTCTTAGTGCTTAGCAACCTTTCAAAGTCATGGTGGACCCTCCAAAAGGACCTGGATTTTGAAGTTTTAAAAGGCAGAGGGGAGGGGTAGAGAGAGAGAGAGAGAGAGAGAAAGAAAGAGAAAGGAAAGAAGAAAAGAGATAGAGAAAGAAAGAAAAAGAAGAAAGAAAAGAAAGAAAGTGAAAGAGAGAAAAAGAAGAAAGAAAGAAGAAAAAGTGAGGGAAAGAGAAAGAAGAAAGGAAGGAAGAAAAGAAAGAGAAAGAAAAGGAAGGAAGAGAGGAAAGAAAGAAAGAAAAAGGTGAAAGAGAAAAAGAGAAGAAAAAGTGAAAGGAAGTGAGAAAGGAAGGAAGGAAAAAGGAAAGAAAGAAAGAAAGAAAAAGAAAGAAAGGAAAGGAAGGAAGGAAGAAAAGAGAAAGAAGGAAGGAAGGAAAGAAAGGAAAAGGAAAGAAACAAAGAAAAAGTGAGCGAGTGAGAAAAAGAGAGAAAGAAGGAAGGAAAAGAAAGGTCATGTAACCTTTGTGGGCCCCGTGGTCACATGACCACGATTCAAGATGGTTTCCAGCCATGTCCACTTAACAACTGCCACAGAAGAGTGACCTAAAATCATGTGACGGCTTGCTTAACAACCGGCATGATTTACAGGCCCAATTATGGTCGTAAACTCGTCAGTGAAAATATATTTCTCCACTGAGTGGGTGGCTTGTCCTTGGCGGGAAACTCTTCTCTCCTCTCCTCTCTCTCTCTCATCCTCACGTTGTTCAGCGGCGGCCTGTGGCTGATGGACTTCGGAGTCCTAGTCCCAATCTGCTAATAGTTTTAGCAGATACCACATCTGCCCTCTCTCCTGATCCAGGGGTTTAGAGTCTCCTTTGGGCTTTCCTGGTGGGCCAGCCGACAATTTTCCTTGCGAATCCTTTTTGGAGCCAAGCTCGGTTCTTTGTCCAAACCTGTTCAAAGTTAATTCCCTGCCCTCCACAAATTACAGGGTTTGGGGGGGGGGCGATGGGTCATCTCTCACAGCGTGGGGGCTGTGGGTGTGAGTGGCTCTAATCTGGGGGTTTTAGGGCATGACTTGTCCCAAAGAATTGTGAGTCAAAGGAAAGCAAAGTCAGCCCTGCTTCTTTGGTTACTTGTTTTTCTTTTCTTCTTCTTTGGTTACTTGTTCTCTGCCTAAATCACCTGTGGTTTTTCCAGTCCTGATCTCTGTGCTCTTGTTATTTTGTCAGGGAGTTGCAGCCGGGCGTGAGATCAGTCCAGGTTGTCCTCAGGTAAGCCAAAGGTGCCAATTAACCCTCTTCCTTAGAAGGAGGGTGGAGGGAAGGGAAGGGATTTGAAACAAGGCAGGGCTCCGAGATGAGATTCCCTGCAAACCTACTGCACCCGGGTGTGTTTGTCATTCAAACAGTTCTGTCTTTGGAACGGAGTGGATTTAGAAACCCCAAAGGTGCTTCCCCTCCTCCCCCAAGGGACAACTGGACTTTCTGGTTTTTCTTTTGAAGGCATTTCGCTTCTCATGAGAGAGGCTTCTTCAGCTCTGACTGGACGGTGGGAAAATGGAAGGATTTATACTCCTTGCAGACAGCTGGTCCATAGGTGGCATATGCAGTACAATGCAGTCCTCACATATTGCATGACGGTGTGGTATGCTGGCTTGACAGCCGTGGACAGAAAGATATTACAGAGGGTGGTTGAGCACAGCACAAAAGATCGTGGGCTGTTCCCTGATACCACTAGATGACCTCGCCAGGGCTCGCTGCCTTCAAAAAGCGAAGAAAATCCTTTTAGGAACGACTCACACTCTGGTCGGCCCTTCTTCACTCTCCTACCATCAGGTAGGAAGATAGAGAAGCAGAGCCAGCCACAACCAACAGGCTGAAGAACAGTTTCTACCCGTGGGCTGTTAGACTTCTGAATGGAAAATAACTTTATGTCAACGTAGTATGATAGACTTGCGGAGCTGGCGCGTTGTGCAACAAGGTCACGTGATGTAATAAGATTGGATTAGGGACTTCTGTCCTCACTGTGAGTTGTGTTACGGGGGGGAGGGCATGAAGGGAGGCTCAGCCAATCTCATTGTACACGTGTTGTAGTCTGATAGGAAAGGGGTGAGGTCAAATTGAAGATATTGAAGATATAAGACCAAACCTTGTGGCAACCCACTGCTTCCTTCCCTCCACAGTCCCTGCTGTTGAGCCTGGTTTCACCCAGCCTAGATGTGTCCTTTGGGTTTTTCTTGCCTAAGTGTAGGACTTCCCTTTTCTCTCCATTGAATTTCATTTTGTCAGATACGGCCCAGTGTTCCAGTCTGACAAGATCCATCTTCTCAAAAGAGTTGGCTTTTTCTGCAGCTTTTGATTATGGGCCATGTAGTCAGTCTGCACTCTTAGGGATAGATCTTCTTGGATAGGCCCAATTCCTCTGGGGGGGGGGGGTGTCTTCATTTTGGGAAGGTCCAATTCCTCTGTGTGTGTGGTGTTTTTTTCCTCCCTTTAAATGGGCCAAATTCCTGCATCATGGGGATCCCTCTTCAATGGGCCTGATTCCTAAATATGTGTATGGAGGGGGGGGTCCTCCTCTAGGGTGGACCTGATTCCTGCATGGGGGGGGGGGGGTTCCTCTTTTGGTATGGCCCCAATTTCTGTAGGTACCGGAGGGAGTTCTTCCTTTTGGGTTAATCCTCATTTTGGGTGTGCCTGATTCCTGCATGGGGTGGGGTGGGATTTCCTCCTCTTGAGTAAGGTAATAATAAGTGAGCCCTGTGCAGATCTGTACGTTTGGGGAAACAAAACAGCTACTTCACAAACGCATGGCCAACATAGAACAAACCCATCAGGACGAGATTCAGCAGTCCATCTGCATTTAAAAGACACAAGGCTGCTCTTTTGAAGACCACAAAATCCACATTCTGGACAGAGAAGACCGCTGGTTTGAAAGAGGGTTCAAAGAGGCCATCTATATGTCCAAATTGAAGTGCCCCCTCTCAACAGACAGCCTAATAAAGATAAATGACATCATCTATCTACAGTCTACAACAGTTCCAAGAAGGCTCCACACCCATTTGCACTACTCAGGTGACCCTGAGGACACAGGTAAACTTCCAAATGACTCTCTAAAAAGGATGCCAATGACCAGCTGTCTGCAAGGAGTATAAATCCTTCCATTCCTCACCATCTAATCGGAGCTGAAGAAGCTTTTTGGATGAACAGCGAAACATCTTCAGAGGATAAAAAAAAAACCAGAAGTTTTTCAAAGTTGCCTCTTTGAAAAAAAAAAAACCACCTTTGGGACCTGGATGACTGAGAATCTCTACAGACAAAATGGATCTGGAAGCATTCCTGATATCTTTCTGGCCCCCAGGGGGCAGTCTTGACCTGCAATTGAATCATAGATTCGTAGGGCTAGAAGGGATCTTGGAGGTCCTCAAGTCCAACTCCTTTCCCTGGGCAGAAGTCGAAGCTCTATAAACTTTTTGGAGAATTCAGGGGGTGAATTGAGTGTAGATTTGATTGTTCTCTATGTCCCAAAGGTGTTTTTTTTTTTTTCAGGAGGCAACTGGAGTTCCTGGTTTTTCTTTTTGAAGACGTTTCCCTTCTCATCCAAGAAGCTTCTTTCGCTCTGACAGAATGGTGGGGAACGGAAGGATTTATACGCCTTGCAGGCAGCTGGTCATTTGCATCCTTTTGGAGGGTCATTGAGACCACCTGGAGGCTTAATCTGTGTCCTCAGGGTCACCTGAGGAGTGCAAATGGTTCCTGTGGCCTGCAATTTATTCCTCTGGAAATCCATTCCTACTCCCACACCATTCCAAGGGTGTTCCTCCCAAACGGTATAGCTAAAAGTTTGAAAAGAATGCCAACGACCAGCTGTCCGTAAGGAGTATAAATCCTTCCCTTCCCCACCATCCTGTCAGAGCTGAAGAAGCTTCTGGGATGAGAAGCAAAACGTCTTCAAAAAGAAAAACAAGAAAGTCCAGTTGCCTCCTGGAAAAAAAAAAAAAACACCTTTGGGACAACCAGGACTTGGATGGCTGAGAATCTCTACAGATTGTTCTGTAGGAACTCTTGATATAAAAATCAGGTTTGATCACCTTGCCTCTAGTTTCTCACCGACTCGCCCAGATAAGGAATGCAAGTCCTGTTTTTCATTAAATCCTCTCCTGTCTTTTCTTATCTGAGCTGGTGAGGAGGAGGAGGAGGAGGAGGAGGAGGAGGGAGGTGGGGGCCAGTCCTTCCTCCCATAAGTCAAGTTTGAAGACCAGTAAAGGCAAACCGGGGATGAACGACTGGGAGTAGATTAGTGTGGATGTGTGAGCTGGCCAGGCCAGATTTGGAATACTGCACCCAATCCTGGTTTCCCCATGATATATATAAAAAAAAAATGTAGGGACTCTAGAATAAAGTGCAGAGAAGAGCAACTAAGATGATAAAAGATCTGTAGGTTAAAACATATGATGAATGATTGCAGGAACTGGGTGTGACTTGCCTAATAAAGATAAGGACTTCAATCCATCAATCAGATTAGAGCTGGGAGGGACCTTGGAGGTCTTCTAGTCCAACCCCCTCCTCAGGCACGAAACCCTCTACCATTTCAGTCAAATGGTTATTCAGTCTCTTTACTTTATTGTCATTGCACCTCGTACAATGAAATTAAATGCCATCTTCAGCAGGGGTGGGATTCAAATTTTTTAACAACCGGTTCTGTGGGCGTGGCTTGGTGGGCGTGGCTTGGTGGTCATGTGACTGGGTGGACGTGGCTTGGTGATCATGTGACTGGCTGGGCCTGGCCAACTCAACATCACTCACATCGAGGCACACATCTCCTCGCCTGGCCTCCCATGACCATGGGGATGCTGCAACAGTCATAAGTGTGAAAAATGGTCATAAGTCACTTTTTTCAGCGCCATTATAACTTTGAATGGTCACTCCACACAAGCAAAGTACCAGCAAAGGAGGGGAAAATAACTCCAGAGACATTCCTGAGACAGGAAGTCTAGTCCTGCCAAGAATGTAATAAGGGTTAACAGAGAGGCAGTTTCTGTAAGCAACACCAGAATGTTTCCTTCCTGCCTTCCTTACAGGATTAGGCCAGTAAAACTTTCCTCTAACAACCGGTTCTCCGAACTGCTTAGAATGTTAACAACCGGTTCTAGCGAATAGGTGCGAACCTGTAGAAACCCACCCCTGATCTTCAGCATGCATTATAACTATCAAAAATAAAACACAAAGACACATCCTTCGCATTCTATACAATTGAATTGAAAATTCAATATAGTAAAAAAACTAACTTCTTAAAAACCTCCAGTAATGGAGAATTCACAACTTCTGGAGGCAAGTTGTTCCACTGGTTAATTGTTCTAACTGTCAGGAAGTTCCTCCTTAGTTCCAGATTGCTTCCCCTCCTTGGTTAGTGTCCACCTGCTGCTGCTTGTCCTGCCTTCAGGTGCTTTGGAGAATAGCTTGACTCCCTCTACTTTGGAGCAGCCCCTGAGATATTGGAAGGCTGCTATCCTGTCACCCCTAGTCCTTCTTTTCATTAGACTAGACATTACCCGGTTCCTGCAACCGTTCTTCATATGTTTTAGCCTCCAGTCCCCTAACAATCTTGGTGGCTCCACATAATGCTAACGGCTCTCTCCCATCTCGCTCTCTAAACCTTTGCTTTCTTTCTCAGAATCTGCTACACAGATACCAGCTGCCCTCAGGAAGATCAATACCCACCGAATATCGCCGTCAAAGTCAACCACAGTTATTGTTCGGTTCCGGTAAGTCATGATTGGACATTTCTCCAGGAGAATCTGGAGGGCCACGTCAGTTGGAGCTGGGCTTGGCCAGACCCATCTCCACTTGCACAACCTGCTCCTTGCACAGGTAGAGCAAAAAAAAAAAAGGGGGGGGGCAGGTGACCTGGAACCTGGGTGGTATACCTCGCCTTCCTCTTCCGCGAATACCACTGCCTTCCCCCCCCCCAAAAAAAATTAGGGGTGCCTGCTGAAGACCTTGGACAACAAGGATAACACTGCACGTTTCTTCTTTCTTGACCCCCCCTCCCCCCTCGCCTCAGTCTCGGGTCGAGCCACCTATGTCTTATAAGCTACCTGCAGAAGTAGGTTCCCCTTATGGCAGGGGTGTCAAACGCGCCTTCATGGAGGGCCGCACCGGGGTTGTGTTTGACCTCGGAGGGACGGGGTCGGTGTGGCCAGGGAGGGGCATGGCCATGGTGGGTGTGGCGTGGGGACACCTGTCGGGGGCACCTGTGGTGGCCAAGTGCTACAGGCAGGACTTCCCTGAGATTCTCCCCCGCTCATTATAATCTTCCTTCCTTCCATCCGTGCTTCGTTTTCTTCTTTTTCCTTCCCTCTTCATTCTCCCTCCTCCCTCCCTTCCTTTTCCTCTTCATTCTCCTTTCTCCTTCCTTCCCCTCTTTCCTTCTTTTTCTTCATTTTCCTTCTTTCCCTTTCTTCTTTCCTCCCTCCCTTCTCTTCTGTTTCCTTCCCTCCCCATTCTCCTTTGTTCTTCCTTTCCCTGTTCTTTTTCCTTCCTGGCTCTCTTCCCATCTTCCCTTCTTTTTCCTCATCTTTCCCTTTCTTCTTTCCTTCCTTCCTTTTCTTCTTTTTCCTTCCTGGCTCTCTTCCCATCTTCCCTTCTTTTTCTTCGTCTTTCCTCTTTCCCTTTCTTCTTTCCTTCATTCATTTGCTTTTTTTTCCTTCCCTCTTCCTCCTCCTTTCTTCTTCCTTCCCCTCTTTCCTTCTTTTTCCTTCCTTCCTCTCTTCCCATCTCCCCATCTTTTTCTTTGTCTTTCCTCTTTCTCCTTTCCTGTCCTTTCTTGCACGCTCAAAGGCAAAAGGGGAAACATTTCTCCTTTTGGTTTTGTTTTTAGTTTGTTTTAGTTTGTTTCTTGCACGCTCTGCCGGCAAAAACGGAGCCGGGGAGGAGCGGGCGGGTGCAGCCTCCCTGCTCCCCATTTTCGGCCTGGACGACCTCCTGCAGCCCTTTGCCAATGAAAACAAAGCTCCATTTTTGGGGTGGTGGAGGAGAGCTCCATTTTCACTGGAAGAGGCACCGTGGGCCGGTCCTTTGCTGTTTCCAGGCCGACCCTGCAGGCCAGATCCAAGCAATTCAACCATAACAACACATCAACCATAACAACACAAGAGCACACAATAGATACAAACTCAAGGTTAACCGCACCAAACTTGATTGCAGGAAACATGACTTCAGCCACAGAGTGGTCAATGTCTGGAATACTCTACCTGACTCTGATTTCTTCCCCAAACCCCAAAAACTTTTAACCTTAGACTGTCTACTATTGACCTCACCCCTTTCCTAAGAGGTCTGTAGGGGGCCTGCATAAGCGCACCAACGTGCCTACCGTCCCTGTTCTATTGTTTCTTTTATTTTTCTTATATGTATCCATTGCATGTATTCCTAACTATGTATATACTTATACCTATTCTCTTGTAAGCGATTGACAAATCAAAATAAATAAATAAAAAATAAATCCACAGGCGTTGAGTTTGAGACTCCTGCCTTCTGGCGTCTGATCTCCACGTTCACATCGTTGAGATCAGTGGTGGGATTCAAAAATGTGTACCACCGGTTCGGTGGGCGCGGCTTGGTGGACGCGGCAGGGGAAGGATACACTGCAAAATCCCCCTTCCCTCCCCACCCCACTAACCTGCTTTCCAGCTCCGTTCTCCTGTGCAGGGTAACCAAAGAAGACCCAGCTGGTCAGCTGGGACTCAAAGGGAGGCAGAGAAGAAATGGGGTTGGCAGGGCCAGTCAGAGGTGAGATTGGCCGGTTCTCTGAACTACTCAATATTTCCGCTACCGGTTCCGCAGAACTGGTCAGAACCGGCTGAATCCCACCTCTGGTGCGAAAAGTGGCTTCCTCTAGCCTCAGAGGGCAGTGGGTTTCTCACTTTGGTGCACTTCTCAATGACCTGATGATGAGCAAAAGTTTGTTCTGTGCACTTTCTGCCTTTCAGCCAGCAGAAAAAGAACACCAGCATAAGTGGGTTTGTCCTATTTTGACCTTCAACGATGCCTTTTCGTTAAGATAGAGAAGTTATAGACCAGGTTACTCACCTTAAGTGTACTTATTTTACTGTCAGTAGTCTTTACAGGAGTCTCTATAAGGTATGGTCAAAACAGTCCAAAAAGTTGTGACACACATAAAAGAAGCATCAGAGCTACGACTATGCTGCCATCTATAGCTGCCATCTTGATATTTTTAATAATACCCTGAGGTACCCTAGGTTCCTGCAAAGATTAAGAAAGAATCATTCAGTCTGTTTTAGTACATTTGAGGTACTATGCCACAATCACAGTGAAAGCCGGTCCCTTTCAAACAACCCCTTTCTCTCTCTCTTTTTTTTTCTCCAGGGCTACTATCCTTCCAACAAGCCCGGGGTAGAGCCGAAGAGGCCTTGTCGTCCCATCAACCTTACTCATCTCATGTACCTGTCTTCCGCCACCAACCGCATCACCATCATCTGGGGGAATTACGGGAAGGTGAGTCTCGTGTCGGCCAGCCGGGAAGAAAGGTGGTGGGGGAGAAAGCAAGCAGCCCATTTCAGGGGTTGGCACTGCTGGTGGGGTAGGGATTCGTTTTTCCCAGGCGTGCTTGACTCGGCCTCCGGCCTAGGAGAGGCCAACCTGGCTGGTTTACTGTCAACTGTAAGGACCCTCTGGGCGTTCCGGCCAGGGCAAGGGACTTCAAAGTAGCTTTTAGAGTTACAAAAACAACACTAGCCCTGAGGATGTTACCTCGTTGGGTCATGAAATGTCTGCAAGAGAGCCCCTCCGGGTTCACGGTCGTCCTCCTCGCAAACCCTCCTCCCTTCTAGCATTGGTGATGCTACCTAGTTGGATAATAAAATGCCTGCAAGAAAACGAGCAAGCTCAGAGAGCGCCAAGGACCCCACAACCCTCCTCCTCTTCGTCTCCTCCTCTCCAGAAATCCCACTCCCTTTCTAGCACTGATAATGTTACCTAGTCGGGTCATGAAATGCCTGCAAGAGAGCCACCGGGGTCAGAGGGCACTAAGGATGCCACAGTTGTTGTTCTTCTTCTCCTTCTCCTTCACCAGTTTTGGTCCCCACACAATTAAAAAGATGTTGAGACTCTAGAAATAAGAGTGCAGAGAAGAGCCACCAAGATGATTAGGGGACTGGAGGCTAAAACATATGAAGAACGGTTGCAGGAACTGGGCCTGGCTAGTCTAGGGAAGAGAAGGACCAGGGGAGACAGGATAGCAGTCTTCCAATATTTGAGGAAGGGCTGGCCCAGAGAGGAGGGAAGGGGTCAAGCTATTCTCCAAAGCACCTGAAGGCCAGACAAGGAATAATGGATGGACACTGAACAAGGAGAGATTCAACCTGGAAATAAGGAGAAACTTTCTGACAGTGAGAACAATCCACCCATGGAACAGAAGTTGCCCTCGGAAGTTGTGGGAGCATCATCACTTGAGACCTTCAAGAAGAGATTGGACTGCCATTTGTCAGGAATGGTGTAGGGTGTCTTGCTTGGGTGGATGGGGGTTGGACTAGATGACCTACAAGATCCCTTCCAACTCTGTTCATCTGTTAATCCTTCTCCACCACTCTTTCTGCTGCTTCTCCTTCTCCTGTCCCATTTCATTCTTGCACTGATAATGTAACCTTGTTGGCTAAGGAAACCGTTAGCCAACCGCTCTTGTACACTTTTGTGTCCTTCCTGTTCTTTACAGAGCTACTCCGTGGGCCTCTTCCTGGTGCGACAGACAACGTCATCAGAGTTGTTGCAGCGATTAAAAACCATCGGCATTAAACACCCGGAACTGTGCAAGGCCCTCGGTGAGTTGGTGCAACTAACTCTCCTTCCATATCCTCTCTGGCTCCTTTTGTCTGGAACTGAATATTTCGCTTCATCTAAGGCAGCGGTCTCCAACCTTGGCAACTTTAAGACTTGTGGACTTCAACTCCCAGAATTCCTCATGCCTTTTCTGTCAAAGGAAAGATATGAAGATCGTGCAAACGGACTAGAAAAGGCGGGAGGAGCTGTGGGGCGTCTCCCGAGGGGAGTTTGGGGATTTTTGGGGGGCGGGGCTTCAGCTTCGGTTTTTGCCCTGGTCTTTCAAAGCTAAGCAAGGATACGGCTTCTTCCAGAGCAAATAAGTGAGGAAGGGAGAAATGGAGGGAGAAAAGGAATGAAGGGAGAGAGGGAGGGGGAGAAGGAAGAAAAAGAGAGAAAAGAAAGAAGGAAATAAATTGAGGAAGTGAAGGAATGAAAGGAGGGAGTGAGGGAGAGAGGAAAGACAAATGGAGGGAGGGAAGGAAGGAAGTAATTGAGGAAGGAAGGATGGACAAAAGGAGGGAGAGAAGAAAGGAAGGAAATTGAGGGGGCAAGGAAGGAAATAAGGAATGAAGGGAGACATGGAGGGAGAAAAGGAATGAAGGGAGAGGGGGGGAGAGAAGGAAGGGAGAGAAGGAAAAAAGAAAGAAAAGAAGGAAGGAAGGAAATAAATTGAGGAAGTGAAGAAGGAATGAAAGGAGGGAGGCAGGGAGGAAAGACAAATGGAGGGAGGGAAGAAAGGAAGGAAGAAAATAAGTGAGGAAGGGAGGAAGGATGGACAAATGGAGGGAGGGAAGAAAGGAAGGAAATGAGGAAGGGAGGGAGAAATGGAGGGAGAAAGAAGGAAGGGAGAGAGGGAGGGAGGGAGAAAAGGAAGGGAGAGAAGGAAGAAAAAAGGAAGGAAGGTCCATTTAGTTAAAAAATAAATAAATAATGGCTGAGGAATTCTGGGAGTTGAAGTCCACAAGTCTTAAAGTTGCCAAGGTTGGAGACCCCTGATTAAGGTGTTTAAATTGCAGGATTAGGAATCAAGGGATTGCAGTACAGGGAGTCCTGGACTTAACAACATTTCGTTTAGTGACCGTTCAAAGTTACAACGGCACTGAAAAAAAAGTGACTTATGACCGTGTTTCACGGTTACAACCTTTTGCAGCATCCCCATGGTCACGTGACCAAAAGCCAGAGGCTGGGCAACTGGTTCACATTTACGACTGCTGCCGTGTTCCCTTTTGCGACCTTCTGACCCGCCAATTTTAATGGGGAAACCAGATTCACTTAACAACTGGGCGTCAGAATTCCGGCAGTTCCACCCCCACCCCCCCTTTAAATCATGAGTCTCAAGCCAAAACTTCCAAAGGATTTATTGGGAGTTAACATGTCCGTCACTGCCTGGGTGTAGCTGACTCTGAAGCACATAATTCACTGTCACCCTTGACCCTGGTTTTCCCCTGACCCCTCTGGGTGTATTGTAATTCATATCCTCCAATGGGACACATCCATAGTCCAGAGTCATCAATCATGCTCTCCAGTTAGAATTTTGTGCGGCAGAAACTTCAGTCGCCTAGTTACAATCTCTGGAAACATTTATGGAATGCAGTTTCGGTTTGCAAGCTGCTGCACTGCTCCCCTCTCCCTTTCTGTTGGCAACTCTAAAAAGACCAGAGAAATATTTTATGAGTTGACACCCAGCGTTAACTCACGTAACAACTGCAAGGATTCACTTAACAACTGTGGCAAAGAAAAGTCATAAAACGGGACAACACTCACTTCACAAATTGCTCCCTTAGCAGCGTAAGCTCTGGGCTCAGTTGTGGTTGTAAGTTTGAGGGCTACCTGTAGTAAACAGGCCAACATTAGAAATACCGTGTACACACACACACACATATATATGCTTTTTGTGCGCGCGGCACAGCTGAGCTTGAAAAAGCAGGAAAGAAGAGGAATTTCAAATGCTGTGCACAGCGCTTTTCAGCTGTCTGGGCGGCACCGCTTAAGGTTTATTACATGCACGCACAGCACGCAGGAGACGCACAAAATGTAGTCTCCGGACCGGTAGTAACACCGGTTGAATTGCAGCACTGGACTACATCCAATTGATCAGATAACAATTATGCATTAAAAAAAAAAAGATTGGTGTTTCCCAGGTATTTTATCAGGTGAGGTATTAGGAGATGGGTCTGTGAGTCCTTAGAGATAAGTACAGTATAAGTAGGACATGGGCTGTAGTTTCAACAGCCCCTTTTCTACAGGAGCTATTATTTATAAAATAGATGTTTCTATTTTATAGGCTACAGGGGCTATTTCTGTTTTATGGAAATAGCCCCTGTAGCTCTTTTAGGATCATAAAGGATGTTCTTATATTTGCTGTTCTGGCCCAGCCTTAGCAGAAGCAAGAAACGGACCCCTTGTCACGAAAATCCCCTCTTCATTTACCTCTTGTGAATTAATGGCCTTCACCCACCGAAAAGTCCAGGCAAGAGTTAATGGCAGCAACAGATCTTATCAGTTCCTTGCAATAATTGCAAGGCCGTCCCAGCCGAAAGGCTGCCAATTAAGTTCTGGCAAGCAGTCTCTGTGGCAGGAAACACCATGAGCAAAATCTTCAGAAAGACGAATTGTTGTCTCCTACGACAACCACTCCCCTTTCCTTCTATTTATTCTCCCAGCCAGGGAGGGACCATTCAGCGTCCAGTGTATGCTCTGGGCATACATGCATCTGGAACAGGCCCCAGCTGTTCTTCCTCCTCACTCATAGCAGCCTCCAAAGGCAGCTGCCTCTCCAGTGGCTTGGGAAGTGTTGGACAGCCCTGGGCTGTCTCTGCTTCCGACACAAAGCATCCATCAGAGCCTTCCTCAGGCTCCAGCACTGGCCCAAGTTCCTCCACAACCTCCTCATTGTCCGATTCTGGCAGCCGGCGGGCCACAACATTCGCCCTCCAAGACTGCTGCGGGAAATGGCTTGCAGCATGCTAAAGATGGAATGGAATAGGAATAGGAATATAGAATGGAA